TTGTCCTCGGGCCGTGTCAGGCAGATTGCAGCCCCGAAGCTCGAGTCTTACGTCTCCTCGAGTTTGGTGCGTGCAATCGCTATGGGTCTTCACATGTATATCATTTGCCTTCCGTCACGTTGTGAATGCGCCTGTGCTTGCTCTGCGGAGATCGGCGCCGCTGGTGCAGTACCGTCCTGCCATGCGCGGCCGCAGTCGCGTCGAAGTAAGATTGTTCCATGTTGCGTTTTTGAACGGCATTGCAAGGTACGTTTCCTGTGTTATTACTACGGTATACCCTCGATGCTCGATGGGTCTTTCGCTGGTCGAATTGCACTACCAGTTCAGCCCTACAGTTATTGATGGTTCATCCGTTTATGTGATACCTGCAAGTCGAAGGGGATATGCCATGCCATTGCACAGCTTCGTTGTGCCATTGCGATTGGTGTTCCTGGAAGGCGGTGTGGACTCATGGCTTGGTGCGACATGTCGCGTTCGCGACGCAGGACCTTCTTTTTGTTCGGAGGAGGAGGAGACGGAGGAGGAGGAGGAGGAGGAGGAGGAGGAGGAGGAGAAGGATCAGGAGGAGGAGGAGGAGGAGGTGGAGGAGGAGGAGGAGTCGGAAGCGCGCACCGCCAAAGAGTAGGCCGGGTAGCTTCAGGGAGGGTCTGTCGTTTCGCCCGCCCTCCCCCTGCTCGTCTTCCTGTTCTGTTCATCGCCCTGGCAGGCGGCGAAGTGCATCAGCAGCACGAACTTTTGTGGGGCCGATGAGGGGCGGACCCAGGTAAGCCGTACAACGAGCATCAAAACGAGACGTTCAGCCCCAGGGGTATGAAGAAAGAGTTCGTGCGGTCTCTTTCCGTCATGCTCTCCCAGCCCTCCTTTGTTGTCGAGTCCTTGTCTTGGATTCGCTTCGCCTCGCGTCGAATTTCTTCTTGGCCCCTCCTCATCCTCGGCCTTCTTTCAGGGAAACGTAAGACTGGAGTAAGCCCGGAACTCGGGTCAGCGGACCGTTTTTGACGAGCTCGTCCTTGATTTTGACGGTCCCGTTTTCGTGGGGATTTCTGCAGCGGAAGCCCGCGTCAAATTTCTGATTGGGTCTCGTCTTTTTGATCGTGGCCACAGTCAGGCCAACCCGAGTCCCCCGTACCCGAGTCTTACGTCTCCCCGATTCTTCTCTTCCTTCCTCTCCTCCATGTCCCCTCTGCTGCTCCTCCTGCTCCCCCGCCGATGCATGCGTCACACTGCTCGTGCCCCAGCGGGAGCGCCACCGTCGGCCCAGCGGCCGCGCCCCCCTGGCGCGGCGCCGCGGGCACGCCGCCCCCTGGCGCGCTCGAGCCAGACCAGGCCTCGTCCAGGGCGACTGCTCCTCCCTCCTCTGCAGTCGCCATGCTGGCTTGCTGCACTCAGGAGCTCAGTGGGCCCTGGAAACGACAGGGCCGCTTTTTACCGGCTCCGTTTTGCCGTTTCTTGCCTGTTCCGACGCCGTGTTTTTACCGGTTCCGTCGCCGTTGTTTGACCGGTTCCGGCTCAGGTTCCAATCCTGGAGCCGTTTTTTTGCCGTTTCCGGTCGCCGTTTTTTTGCCGTTTCCATTTTCAAGGTACCATCCTTTGGAAACGGTGAGAAAACGGCCCTGCCGTTTCGGGGGCCCACTAAGAGCCAGACTATGTCTCGTTCAGGGCGGCTGTTCTTCCCTCCTCTGCAGTCGCCATGCTGGCGTGATGCACTCCGGAGGCGCGAGGCGCAGAGCCCAACCAAACACACACACCAACACGACCGGCGGCCACGCGCAGCGGGGTACAGGAGGAGTGGCAGGAATGCCATTCTCAGGAGCGCCCCTGCTTCTCGGACGGCGCGGGCCTCCTCCTTAGATGCAGGGCCGGCGCCTCCTCAGGGGCAGCCTCCTTGTAGGAAGCCTTGCCCCCCGTCCCCCTTGCCTTTCCTCTGCGCGCCGCCAGCCTCTGAGGAGAGCCGCGCCGTGACGAAAAAGACACGCCGCCGCATGCCAGGGCCCTCCCTGTCCATGAGGTCGGCAAGCCCAGGGCGATGACCACCTCGGGGATGTGCCCTCTGCTCCCTGACCTCCCTTCTGATCTGTATTAAAGAAGAGAGACGCTATGAACATGAACTGTTGTGTTTATAGCTTTGTTTATTATTCTACTCTGGGCCTTCTAGATGGGGCCGAAGTAGGGGGGTCTGTGGATCTCGCTGAGTCGCCGATGCATCGCCGATGTGGCTCGATGTGGAGCCCGATTTCGTTCACGTTGGCGTCGCCGATGTTGCATCGCCGATGCATCGCCGATGTGTTGGCGATGCGGAACGATCCCTCGACCCCATTTGGTCCGACCCAATCTAGAAGGCCTCTACTCTCCCTCTCCTCTTCCTGTCGCTACTGCATCGTCGAATAGTTGCTCAGGCCACGGCTCACGGCATGAGGTTGACTGGTGCAGGTCGGCTTGTGCGGTGTTCCTGGCTTGCCTGGCGACATCTTGCTTGGCGATGCCGTTCTGGCACCAGCGGATGCTGTGCGAGGGAAGGATCCCCAGAATTTGCCTTCGGAACTCGACCGACTCTTCAATGCCTTGGACGCTCGAGCTTGGTACAGAAAACGGGCACGATCCCAAAGCAACAAAGGGTGCCCAACACTGGCAGCGGCAGCGGCCGCTGTTGGCCAGGCGGCCTTGTGTCTCGAGTCAGACACCGTCCGCGGCGACACCGGCAGCGAGTGCGGTCCGCACTGGACAGGAATTTGCTGTCGGCCTTTCATACCCTGAGATCCGGCCTTGCAACACGTACAAACCATCTGACGAACCGCACGGCCAGGCGCCCCGAAGCCTACTTGCGCCCGTGCCGTGTGGCGAGCTGCCCCGCTCCGTTATGAAAAGTTCGGGGGCCCGACCCTGGCCAACGGCGCCAGTGGGAAGAAGTTGCAGCGCCAGGGTCTCGGGATACCCATCCTCCTCCTCCCCCTCCTCCTCCTCCGCCTCCTCCTCCTCCCTCCTCCTCCTCCTCCTCCTCCTCCTCCTCCTCCTCCTCTTTCCATTCCCATGTCGCTCGTGCCGAAGATCGGCATCGGTGCGAGCTGACGTCAAGCAGTATGCAGCCACGCGCAGAGGGGGGTAGGTGGAGGGGGGGAGGCTTTTCAGGAACACCCGTGCTTCTCAGAGGGCGCGGGCCGCATCTGTAGGTGTAAGACCGGCGCCTTCTAAGAAACAGCCTCCTTCAAGAAGCCCGCCCCCCCTCTCCAACTACTTCCTTCCGGCGACGAGCCCAGGGTGGGGAAGTGAGAAGGGGCGGGCCTTCTCTGAAGGCTCGGAGGTCCCCCTGCTTTCCGAGAAGTTTTGTAAGCCTGTCCCGAAGATCACCGAGTGCGTTCCGCTTTTCGCGAAGTTGCTACTCCTAAGCGTCAAACAAACACATGTTTGCCTCGATGTAATGTATCGCGCCCCCCCTGAGGCGGATCCATGCCGTTTGCGAGATGTTACCTTGCGAGTAGTGGAACGCGGTTGTCTAGAAGACGCAGCACACTTCTCAGACGGTCGGAGGGCTTCTGAGAAGCCCCGCCGCCTTCTGAGAAGGCCTTTCCCTCTCACTTCCCCTCTCTTTCGCCGCCGATCCTTGTGCCCAGATCCCCGACGTCGTGATTTTTTCTGAAACGTCGACCCCCAGAGGTCTGGACCCTTTCTCCGGGACCAGTTTCTCATCCAGACCTTTTTTACACGGTCCCGAGGCTGAGGAGAAGGAGGAGAACGAGGACGAGGAGGGGAAGGGGGAGGAGAAGGAGGAGGAGGAGCAGAGGGAGGAGGAGGAGGAGGAGGCGGAGGCGGAGGCGGAGGAGGAGGAGGAGGAGGAGGAGGAGGAGGAGGAGGAGGAGGAGGAGGAGCGAAAAACCTCCCGCCGTGTTTCTGTCACAACGCGAGAGGGTCAAACAGTAGCGGATGGGTCCGCGCGGCCTGGCCGCGCGGAGCGGAGTGCGCCCAGGCCGCCGTGCGGCGCGGCCTCGTGCGGGCGGGCGTGCTGCAGGCGCGGCCGCGCGCGGGGAGCGCTTCCGGCCTGGCAGCTTCCGCCCCGCGGTGGTCCCTCGCCCTTCTCCTCCTCCTCCTCCTCCTCCTCCTCCTCCTCCTCCTCCGCGAGAGCACCGACTGGTGGTAATCACGTGGGTCCACCTACGTGTCACATGTTTGAGGCCACGGCCTCCACGCCATGCCCAAATGGGCACGGGCCGGCTCCGCGGAGGAGCGCGCACGACTCCGGCGTTCGCTCCTCCTCCTCTTCACCCTCCTCTTCAAGCTGGCCCAGTTGGCCCCGAGAGTGCCCGATTCGCTCCGACTCCCGGGGGGGTGGCGGGAGGGACATCGACACGTCCCAGGCGCTTTAGCGCCAAGGAGCCTGGAGCCTGCCTGCCCGCGACGACTACGCGTACAGTCCCGGGGACTCGCTGAGGACAGGCAAGTTGTTTGGATCCCCCCGGTCCAGGGGAAGGGGCTCATTTCATGCCCCGCTGAAGCGTCGGTGGGCAGTCGACCACCAGAGCAAGGATGCAACGGTCCATAGGCTGCCGCTGCGTCCTTGCCCGTTCGGCCTGTCCGTGGCCACTTTTGTTTACCAGATATCCGGAGGGGGCGGTTGCCGGCGCGCCCATCCATGGGGGGGGAGACAGAAGGGCTGGGCCTGCTCAGAAGGCTCGGAGGGACTCCCCGGCCTCCTTGTGAAGCTCCCGAAGAGCTCCTCCGAAGCCGCAGGTGGCTCCTCGGAAGGTCGGAGAGGAGGAGGAGGAGGAGGAGGAGGAGGAGGCGGAGGATGAGGAGGAGGAGGGGGAGGGCTCCTGAGGAGCCCCGCCGCCTTCTGGGAAGGCCTTCTCCGTCTCGCTTCCCCTTTTCGGCGATCTGAGGGGGCCGGGGGTCTGGCACCTCTGCCCCGGAGTTTCCAGGAGGGCTAAAAAACAGCACCAGGACCTCGACTCATCAACTCATGTCGAGGTTCCAGGCGGCCCAGTTAGGTCTCTCTCTCTCTCTCTCTATATATATATATATGTGTGCCTGGACTGCTATGTTCTAGCGCCCTAGAAGGACAGGGCCCTCGCACCCTCGCTCCGTGGTGCGTGCCCGTGCAGCTCTTCCTCTCGGCGAGGCCTGTGGCCGCCTGCCCCGACACTGCAGAGTGTTAAGAAATTGCCCTCCAGACCTGCAGACCTATCTGGCTGCCTAAAATCTCGCCCGGATTTTAGGTGTCGAGGTCCTTGTGCTTTTTTTAGCCCTCCTGGAAGGTCCAGGGAAGCCGCTCGTCATGGAGGGCTCTCGTCGTCACGGCTGGCTTCTCCTCGACATCCCGATCAGGACGCGCCCCAGGAGAGGTCTGGGATTCTTGCTTCCCCCTAGAGGAAGAGGAGGAGGAGGAGGAGGAGGAGGAGGAGGAGGAGGAGGAGGAGGGAGGAGGAGGAGGAGGAGGAGGAATTCGCTGGAATCCGCAGGAATCCACGGGGTGGAAGGGAAGAGGAGGGGGAGGACGAGGGGAGGAGGAGGAGGAGGAGGAGGAGGAGGAGGAGGAGGAGGAGGAGGAGGAGGAGGAGGAGGAGGAGGAGGAGGAGGAGGAGGAGGAGGGAGGAGGAGGAGGAGGAGGAGGAGGAGGAGGGAGGAGGAGGAGGAGGAGGAAGAGGAGGAGGAGGGGGAGGAGGAGGAAGAGGAGGAGGAGGAGGAGGGCCCGTAGCCATTTTGGCTCAAGACTTAAACGTTGTGAAGGGCTATAGACGCCCGAGAATCAGCGATTAGGTCTGGGCCCGTCCGTAGCACGGCCCAGAGATTTGGAGCAGAGCGCTCCTAGGCATCACGACCGCCCTGGCCAAGTTCTTTGCCAGGCCCACCGCATTCCTCATTCTTTCTGCTCCCGCTGCGGAGCCCCAGTCAGAAGGTTCCGTTGATGGCGCCATGGACGTGCGCATGGCAATGCAGATGCGGGCAGCAGAACTGGAATACCTCGGTGAACTGCGTCAAGTGCAACGGTCATTGGAAGTCTTCCAAGAAAGAGAACGGAACGGCACCAACAACCACAAGGGCCGCCAGAGATCCAAGAGACAGAAGAGCCAGAAATCGACATCGGAATCACGCCCATGGGAAGACGAGACGAAGCCCAACGGTGCCCCATACGTACGAATGGCGACTCCAGCAGAAGCGCAGGCTCATCCAGACTATCGTCCTGTGAGTTCGCGTGCCACGGAGTCGGAGAAGAAAGAGTACTACAGAGAGATTCGCTCCAGGCTGAACTTGCTCCAGCAGAGGTACAACTTAGCCTGGGCCATGAGAGAGCCAGTGCAGGAGCTGGCCACATCTATTTCCATATTGAGACGACTGTTGATATCGGAGAAGAGTTTACATCAGCAGAGCGCCTGGACAGAGACTACCATTGCCAGGATGATGCTGCGCGTCGAAGCAGCCAACACAGAAGTCGCATCGCTCAACGGCCACCTCCAGGCGAATATCAACGTCAGAGACAACCTCCATGACCAGCTGGACGCGCTGAAGCGCACCAAGATGGAGATACACCAGCTCATGGAGGCGGAGAAGCAGCAGAAGGAGATGGAGAGCAGCACGGACATGGACGAGGACAAGCCGTGCCAGGGCGTGGTGGTCTTCCCCGAGCGCCCGATAGAGGAGTCCCCACCATGCGCGACCTCAACACCAGCATCGACACCAGCTGCGTCCACTACAGGCACGGCACCGTCCAGCGCCAGCATCCAGCAGGCAGTCCAGATGCAGGTCGAAGCTCAGCTGAAGTCCATGGCGGACCAGATGATGCAGATGCAGCAGATGATGGAGGCCATGATGATGCGAGACGCGATACGGTCATCAGCGACAGGGGCGACGGCTACTGGACATCAACCAGCGCCATGGACGCCCCAGCCTCCTACTCCACCGACCGCGGCTCCCAGATCAACGCCATCACTGACGCCGACGCAGCCTTGTACCCCGATCCCGTTGATGGAGACCACGGCTCAGGACACGTCCGCGGGATGGATCACGGTGAAGGAGAGGGCCGCGGCCATCGAGAGCGGCTCGGGGGGCGGACAGTTTTCCTTAGGGCCACGGCGGCGCAGCAGTCAAAGGACTCCAGCATCGAGGAGTCCAAGCATCCGCGCCCAGAGAACGAGAGCGCCAGGATCCTCCAGGCGCCCTGCCAACGACAAGGGCAAGTCGAGGACGGCCATGGCAGCTTTCCGCAAGCCCCAGAGACGGTCGGACATCGAGACGGTCGCCAAGACAACAGAGGATGACAGAGTGCCGAGCAGCGATGCCGCCCAGATGGATCTCTACGCGGAGAGCGAGTACTGAGCCTACACGGCCATGAGAGGGTGTCGGATGGGGGGAGCCCGACACCCAGCAGCATGCATGTAGGCTCTAGCGAGCAAACACCGCCACCCCAGCGCTGCCGCGCTGAATTCGATAGGCCCAGATCCAAGGTGGCTTTCGCAACGACTGTGCCTTTTCACTTCTACGATCCCTCCCCGGCCCCCGACTCCTCCTCTCCTCCCGATGTTGGGTTGGGCAGTTCGGAGGTGCTGACCCCAGGAACTCTGGGGCGTTCGGGGGCTGGAGTCCACACTGGCCCGCAGGTCCTGGACCTCGACAGTCGGATTCCGATCGAGGTCGCGATCGTGGGCGATGATCCCATCGACTCGATCAGATGTAATTTGGGGCAGATAGGGCTGCTCACACGCCTTCAACAGGAAGGGTGCCAGATAGACCTTGATTTAGATGTCAACGGAGTGGGCCTGCACGCCCACGCGCAGCTTGGCCTGGACATGCGCCCGACTAGCGAGCACGTCGCCGGCCAGATTTCAATCTTCGTCGACGGGTCCTTCGACGAACAGGACCCCGCCACCGCGGCCTGGGCGATGGCCGTGGTGGCCAGGACAGAGCAGGAGCCTTTCCCTTTCTGGGGGCTAGGACAGGAAAGGTTCTCTCATCTGTCGGCGTTTTCTTAGATGCCACTCGTTTCAGCAGCACTACCCCAGAGAGGGGGGGGATCCTTTGGGCTTTGCTTTGGATCGTGCTTCTCGGACAGCACGAGGCTGAGGGTTCTGTTATCGAGTCTGACTCCGTTTCTGCGATTCAGATTGCCGAAGGATCTGCTCAGTCCTCTGCCAATCCCGAGTTTGGCGCCATGTTGCGCCACCTGGTCGTTGACCTGCGGGCGAGGTATGACCTCACGTTCCGCCATGTCCCGTCCCACAAGGCCCATCCCTGGAACGAGTTACTCGATGGTCTCTCTAAACGTAGGCGAACGGACTCCGAAGTTCGTGACCCTGACTGGGCGAAGCTCTTGACCCCTGCGGTGGGAGATCCCTGGTCATGGGTTACCGAGCTGGAAGCCGATCGCAGCGCGTATCCCGAGATCACCGAACATGATGGACAGTTCTGTTTCAACGCCCCCGTGCGCACATATGCGACGGGGCACCCGCATCACTATTTGCCTCCTGGGTTTGAAGGCGGGCCTGACCCCCCCAAGGAAATGGCTGGTGATCTCACCCTCAATGTCGCGACATTTAATGCGATGTCCATGCTCGAGGATTCCGAGAGACATCATCGTCGACACAATTCCAAACTGGTTAGAAAGCAGTTTCACGAACAGGGCATTCAGGTCCTTGGAATCCAAGAAGCTCGGACCCCAGAAGGGACCAGGACCGCCGATGGTTACTGCATCCTCGCCTCTGGAGGTGACGGGAAAACTTTTGGGGTTGAGGCCTGCTTCTCGTTGGCCCTCCTGTATTTGACTCACCGAGGCCACCCGAGGTACTTCCAGAAAAGCCATTTTCTTGTCACGCATACGGGTATCCGCAGGATTGTAGTGCAAGTCCGCGCGCCAGGACTTCATTTCAATTTCATGGTCCTGCGCGCTCCCTATCAGGACGCGCAGAGCAGGACCGTCGACACTGGCGCTCTTCAGGGGTGGTGGGAGGAGACTACCGCGATTGCCCAACGGGTGTCAGTCGACGTCGTGTCGGTCGACGCTAACGCGAGGGTTGGTAG